TGGTTCAGTTTCGGTAGTTTTTTTTTTTAAGATTTTATTTATTTATTTGACAGAGAGAAATCACAAGCAGGCAGAGAGGCAGGCAGAGAGAGAGGAGGAAGCAGGCTCCCTGCTGAGCAGAAAGCGCGATGCGGGGCTTGAACCCAGGACCTGGGATCATGACCTGAGCCGAAGGCAGCGGCTTAACCCACTGAGCCACCCAGGCGCCCCAGTTTTGGTAGTTTATATGGCTCTAGGAATGCATCCATTTCTTCCAGATTGTCAAATTTGCTGGCACATAGTTGTTCATGATATGTTCTTATAATTGTTTGTATTTCTTTGGTGCTGGTTGTGAGCTCTCCTCTTTCATTCATGGTTTTATTAATTTGGGTCCTTTCTCTTTTCTTATTGATAAGTCTGGCCAGGGGTTTATCAACCTTATTAATTCTTTCAAGGAACCAGCTCCTAGTTTTGTTGATTTGTTCTACTGTTCTTTTGGTTCATTGATTTCTGCTCTGATCTTTATTATTTCTCTTCTCCTGCTGGGTTTAGGCTTTCTTTGTTGTTCTTTCTCCAGCTCCTTTAGCTATAGGACTAACTTGTGTACTTGAGATCTTTCTTATTTCTTGAGAAAAGCTTGTATCACTATATACTTTTCTCTCAGAACCACCTTTTCTGTACCCCACATATTTTGAACAGTTGTGTTTTCATTTTCATTTGTTTCCATGAATTTTTAAATTCTTCTTTAATTTCCTGGTTGACCCATTCATTCTTTAGTAGAAAACTCTTTAGCTTCCATGTATTTGAGTTCTTGCCAACTTTCTTATGATTGAGTTCTAGCTTAAGAGCATTGTGGTCTGAAAATATGCAGGGAATGATCCCAATCTTTTGGTACTGGTTGAGACTTGATTTGTGACCCAGGATGTGATCTATTCTGGAGAATGTTCTATGTGTACTAGAGAAGAATGTGTATTCTGTTGCTTTGGGATGGAATGTTCTGAATATATCTGTGATGTCCATCTGGTCAAGTGTGTCATCTAAAGCCTTTATTTCCTTGTTGATCTTTTGCTTAGATGATCTGTCCATTTCAGTGAGGGGGGTGTTAAAGTCCCCTATTATTATTGTATTATTGTTGATGTGTTTCTTTGATTTTGTTACTGATTGGTTTATATAATTGGCTGGTCCCATGTTAGGGGCATAGATATTTAAAATTGTTAGATCTTCTTGTTGGTCAGACCCTTTAAGTATGATATGGTATCCTTCCTTATCTCTTATTATAGTCTTGGTTTAAAATCTAATTTATCTGATATAAGGATTCCCCCCCCCCAGCCCCCCAGCCTTCTTTTGATGTCCATTAATGGTAATCTTGTAGACAGCCTATCAGTGGATCTTGTTTTTTTTATCCATTCTGATACCCTGTGTCTTTTGATTGGGACATTTAGCCCATTTACATTCAGGGTAACTATTGAAAGATATGAATTTAGTGCCATTATATTGCCTGTAAGATGACTGTTACTGTGTATTGTCTCTGTTCCTTTCTGTTCTATTACTTTTAGGACCTCTCTTTGCTTAGAGGACCCCTTTCAATATTTCCTGTAGGGCTGGTTTGGTGTTTGCAAATTCTTTTAATTTTTGTTTGTCCTGGAAGCTTTTTATCTCTCCTTCTATTTTCAGTGACAACCTAGCTGGATATAGTATTTTTGGCTGCATATTTGTCTCATTTATTGCTCTGAATGTATCATGCTAGTCCTTTCTGGCCTATCAGGTCTTGGTAGATAAGTCTGTTGCCAATGTAGTATTTCTACTGGTGTATGTTTCAGAACTCTTGTCCTGAACTGCTTTCAGGATTTTCTCCTTGTCACTAAGACTTCTAAGTTTTACTACTAGATGACAGAGTGTGGACCTATTTTTATTGATCTTGAGGGGGGATTCTCTGTGCCTCCTGGATTTTGATGCTTGTTCCCTTTGCCATATTAGGGAAATTATCTACTATAATTCGGTCCAATATACCTTCTGCCCCCCCTTTCTCTTTTGCCTTTTTCTGTGATCCCAATTATTCTAATAGTGTTTTGTCTTATGGTATCAATTATCTCTTGAATTCTGCCCTTGTGGTCCAGTAGTTGTTTGTCTCTCTCTTGCTCAGCTTCTTTATTCTCTGTCATTTGGTCTTCTATATCACTAATTCTCTCTTCTGCCTCAGTCATCCTAGCAGTAAGAGCCTCCATTTTTTATTGTACCTCATTAATAGCTTTTTTGATTTTAGCTTGCTTAGATTTTAGTTCTTTTATTTCTCCAGAAAGGGATTGTATTTCTCCAGAAAGGGATTCTCTAATATCTTCCATGTATATATGTATATATAACTGGTGAATAGAACAGAGCCACCCACTTGTTCTGGGGTGTATTCTGGTCTCTTAGAAGAAACTACCTCCCAAAATTTTAAAGAAAGAAAACATATATATACAAAAATAATGGTAAACATAATGAATATATGGAATATGACTATGAAGATGAAAATTTAAAAAGATTCTAAAAAGGAATTGATAAGATAATTTGGTTGGAAAAGAAAAAAAGAGGAGAATGTGATCAAGCTGGAGACTAGAACAAAGCCATATGCTACATTTAGGGTGTATTTTGATCTATTAGAAGAAATTGTACCCCAAAATTTTAAAGAAAGAAACGTATATGTGTACAAAAAAGTAAGGTTGAATACAATGAAAGGATAAAATATGACTATAACAATGAAAATTTAAAAAGATTTTTTAAAGGTATTGATAAGATAAAATAGTTAAAAAATGTTAAAAGAAGAAAGAGGAAAAGTTAAAAATGTAGAATAAGAAAAAAATAAAGTAAAATAAATTTAATTGCAAGACTAAAGGATCATGGGGGAAAAAGCCATGAATTCTATGTATTGCTTTCCCCTAGCTCTCCAGTTCAGCTGTTCTCCTTGATTAGTGAGCTTGGTCTTGGCTGGATGTTCTTGTTGATCTTCTGGGGAAGGGGCCTGTTGCAGTGAGTATCAATTATCTTTGTCCGAGGCTGAACTGCACTGCCCTTGCTGGGAGCCAGGCAAAGTAATCTGCTTGGGTTTGCTCTCGGGAGCTTTTGTTCCCTAAACACTTTCCATAGAGCCCTGGAGGACGGGAATGTAGATGGCGGCCTCCCAGTCTCCGGTCCAGAGGAGCCAAGAGCTCGGGGCCCCACTTCTCAGTGTGCCCTCAGAGAAAAGCTGTCAAACTTTCCCATCTCACTGGTCTCCGGCCACATTCCAAGCTCATCCATCCTGTGACTGAGCGTTTCTGTCTCTGGTGCATGCTCCCTTTTGGAGTCTCCAAACCCAGCAGATTCCTGCTGCACATTCCTGTACCACTCCTCCTGGAGGAGGAAGGAGGTGTCTCTCTGGATCTGCCACTTGTGGGGTCCCTGCTCGAAGAGCAGCAGCCCGAATGTGCCTCGGATCATGGTTTAAGGTTACCATGAGCTGAGAGCTCACTCCTCGGCTCTGTCTCTATAACCGGCTTCCCCACTCCAATACCTGGCAGCTCTGTCACACTCAGACACCCCTGGTCTTTCTGTGACCCCATGGGACCTGAGACCACACTGTCCCCACAAGGGCTCCATCCCCACTTAGCCTCTAGAGTGATGTCCAGAGGAGCAGGCTTCAAAAAGTTCTGATATTGTGCTCTGCTGCTTCACCACTTGCTGGGAGCCAGCCCCTCTGCCACCATGGTCTATCTTCCCATTGGTTCAGATTCACTTCTCCGCATGTCCAACCTTTCAGAAAGTGGTTGATTTTCTGTTCCTAGAATTGCTGCTCTTCTTCTCTTCAATCTCCTGTTGAGTTTGTAGGTGTTCAGAATGGTTTGATAAATATCTAGCTGAACTACTGGGACATAATGATATTTCAGTCTCCTAATCCTCTGCCATCTTGCTTCCTCTCCCCTTTTGATGTATTTTTAAGAAAGGAATAACGTTTGTTATTCATCAGCAGGAAAAAGGTTAAAATCTCAAAAAAGCCAATTCAGAGGCACTGTGAATGAGACATTATTTAGCTTTAGCTAGCTCTCTCAGCTCCCTGTAGAATCGTCATCTGCTGGTCAGGGAACTGTGTTTTTCTTTTAAAATACAGATTTTTTTTTTCATTGTTCGTTTTTTTTCATTGTTTTTTTTTATTTGTTTTCATTGTTCTTTAGTTCCCCTCCAGCCTTAACTGATGTATAATTGACTAATTGCAAGATATTTAATAAGTACAATGTGATGATTTGATATACATATTCATTATGAGATGATTCCCCCATATAGAGTCAATTGATGCATCCATCACCACACATATTTACCTTTTTGGGGGGGGGGGGTAAATGAGAACATTTAAGTTCTACTCTCTTAGCATATTTTAATTATACAATACAGTGTATCAACTATAGTCACCATGTTATACATGATCTTATTCAACTTATAGCTAAAAGTAAGCTTGCACCCTTTGAACAACCTTTCCCTATTTCTCCCACCTACCCCAGTCCCCTCAGGGTTCTCTCAGTTAAAGTTCAACTTTTTGTTTGTTTGTTTGTTTGTTTGTTTGTTTCTGCATGTAGATGATACCACATGGTATTTGTCCTTTTCCATGTGGCTTATTTTACTTAGCATAATGCTCTCTAGGTTCATCCATGTTGTTGTAAATGGCAGGATTTCCTTCTTTTTTTATGACATGATTATGGATAAATAGTATTCCATTGTGTATATATACTACATTTTCCTTTGTCCGTTGATGCTTTTATGGACACATTGGTGGTTTCCATGTCCTGGCTATTATGAATAAATAATGCCACTATGAACATGGGAGTGCAGAAATCTCTTTGGGATAATGATTTTGTTTCCTTTGGGTAAATACCTAGAAGTGGGATTGCTAGCCATATGGTAGTTATATTTTTTCATTTCTTGAGGAACCTCCATACTGTTTTCCATTGTAACTGTACCAGTTTATGTTCCCACCAACAGTGCACACTGTTTTTCATTGTTTTTGGCAGGAGAGAGCCAGGAGCTGCCTGCCTTTCCTGGTGAGTCAGTTGGCCAACATGGAACATTCGTTTCATCATATTCTCCTGCTGGAGATTAAGAGTATCACTGATGCTTTCTCCTCCATCCTGGGCCCTCAGAGCAGAGATATCTTCCGTATGAGCAACAGCTTCACCACGATTGCCAGGCTCCTTACCCAACAACTGGAAACAGCCAAGGCCAAAAGCAGCAGGTGAGCAAGAGCTCCTATGTACATCAGGGACATGTCATAAATCCATGGAGGTATAGCACAGACAGTAGGCACTCAACCTCCCAAAGAAAACCAAACCCACTATCTCAATGCAGAATAGCTTCTGAGTAAATTATAGCATTTGCCAGAAATTTTTCTAAATTTGTGAAAACCAGAGTGAAACAAAAAAAAATTTCTAAAAAGTGCATAAAATGTGACAAAGGAATAAGAATATAGTACAAATAATGCTTATATCACTCATTTAGTCAAGAAGTACTTAGCAATTGTTTGCTCTTACCAGGAATTCTGTTGAAGCTAGACATATAGAGAGAGATAAAACATATTCCTTGTACCCATAGATCTCACTGTCTAGTAGAGGAAATAAATATTTAAGTGGTAACTAGAGAATAGTGGGAAGGTCATGCTTAATCAAGATGTGGTCATGGAGTCTGGGGACACAACGATAGGGATATCTACTTCTGCATGGAATGAAGAGAAATAGAAAACTTAGGTCAGGGAAGGCTTCCCAGAAGAGATGATATTTTGAACCAAGTCCTAAAAGATGACCAGATTGCACCAGGCTGTGTTTTGGGCTTTCTAGAAACAGAAGTCATTTAATATGGGTAGGGTATGTGTTAGGAGAGTAACATTAGGTAATGCAAATGAAGTGGTAGGCAGAGACTGCAGGATGGTGGGCTTGAGACCTTCCTAAGGAGTTTGAATTTTACTCTGTAGGCTAAGAAGAATCATTGTGGGGTTTTATACATGGCAAGATATTATCAGAATCCATGTTTCAGGAATCCACTGATTCCAATGAAGAGAATGTCTCAGGGAGAGGTGGACTGAAGTCAAGTCCAGTGAGGGAAGGACAGAAGAGTGTCCATGTTGAAAATTGTGATGAATGAACTGCCAGTGATATGGGTGTAAAGAAAACAGAATTCCTGGGGTTGAAGAGAGAGAGTAGATACAATGCATCAAATTGGCCAAAGTTTGTGGAAAAAATTTTGGAAAAAAATAAAGATCATGTAAGATTAAAGGAGGTGTTGTATTTTATTTTGCTATATTTTGAATAGGGAAGCACTTGGAAAGTTTTATAACCCTTAGAAATTAAAAAACAGTTTCCAACATGTACTCTTATTTAATCCTCATGACTGCTCCACAAGGTAAGAAAAGCAGATATCATTATTCCTATTTTACAAAAGAAAAAATACTTCTATTTTTGAGGTGAGAGGTGTTAAATGTCTTCCCAAGGTTAAACAGTGACTAGGTGATAGAGGATAGACTCAGACCTTATCTTCACATCATGGACTGGAGGGTATTCGGTTCTAGAGCAGGGCCAGGGCTCATTGGAGACCAATGTCAAATTTTGTGAGTTTTGGGGATATCAAACGATGCATACCATTTCCAGTGTGAATTAAGGATTCCAAAAACATAAGAAGTGAGTATTTAATCATCAGGGTCACTTTATGTCCACTTTGGCACAGTCTTGTGGTTCCAAGAGACATAAGACACCATCCCTTCCCTCAAAGGATTCACAGTCAGGTATGCGACGGGATTTTGGTAGAAGTGTGTACAACGGGCTGTGGAGCATGAGAGATGTACTGACTAACAGCCAGGAAATTATAGAACGTTTTAGAGAGAAGGTGAAATTTAATTTCATTCCATCTTTATTGAGCAGCTTCATGGGCCAGGCATTTCTCTAGGTACTAGATGAAGTTGCACAGGATGAATGAGAGTTCTTCAGAAAAGGGTAGAAAGAATATTTTAAATACAGGGAATAGCATGGGCAGTTAGAGGTTTAAGAGTGTGTGACCCAAACTAAGGGAAAGCCATTGATTCATTGTGGTTGGAGCAAGTACATCAGAGCAGGGTGGGAGAGTAAGCTGAAATGTCAGGTGAAACAGATTATCAGAAGCTTTTACATGCTGTGTCAAGAAGTGAGGCGTTCATCCCTTCATCAATATGGAGGCTTGGAAAGGTTTTAATCCAGAGAATGATCACAGCTCCTAACAGAGTAATTATCAGATAGGCACTTGATAAATGTCTCTTCCCTGTAGGACCAGGGAAATGAGGAAGCGGCTAAAGCTGTGGAGCACTGAATGGATTTGGCTGGAGCAGCAAGATGGCAAGAGAGTGACCAGGATGGGATCATTGGAACCTTAATAAACAGGCTCTTTCAGCTGTGAGGGGAGCCTGAACTAAAGTGGTAGTGGAGGACCTAAGAAGGCAGGGAGTATCATTATAATGGGGAGAGCTGAATTATGAGGAACTGATTACCAACAAGAGGTAGGGCGAGGAGAAGGGGAAGATTATGGATAAAGCCCAGAGATACATAGTTTGAGGGACTGCATACTCATGGAAGATGATGCTAACAACCATGAAAAGAGGAGCAGGAGGGAAGCCCAAATGGAAGGATCTCTTAGTCCACTCTACACAGAGAGTATTATCTGACCAATAGGGTCATCAAAGTCAGCAATAGCTATTCATCCATAGAAGACTGCTTTCTTGTAAGTGTCCTTTTGCCCTCAATGCCATAGTTTTGATCTGTTGTTGGCTGGTTCAATATATAAATGCCTACAAACCAGGGTTTCTAATCTTGGTACTATTGAAATTTAGGCTCATTAATCCTTGGTTATGGGGTTTCCTGTGCCTTACATAATATTTGCCAGTATCCCTGGACTCTACCCAGTAGATGCTGGTAGGAGTCCTCCCCCTCAGCTGTGGCAACCAAAAACATATCCTGACATTGCTAAGTGTCTCCTGAGAGACAAAAATTGCTTACACTTGAGAACTGCTCTTATATACATATTCTATTCAAAAATAGTATTTTTACAGACCCATGACTGGCCTAGCAACAGCCTAAACACAGTGGTATCCAAGAAATCCAAGGCCAGCATCATGAAGGGGTGATTTGTCATTTGTATGCAAGCACAAAGTCACTGTTGGCCAATTTTCATGATGATGTGATTTTAGAAATTTGGTTTAGATCCTGGAGACATTTTGAATTCTGTGCATAGCCAGCCTGCTTATTTCTTCTTCCAATGATGAGCGACGTGTGTATCAGATGTGAAAGCTTAGGCACGCGTTCTGGCCAGTGTGCTATACGCTCTCTATTGCCTCTGCAAATTCAAAGTTGCAAGAAGCTAGTTGGCATCTTCAAGAGTATATACGTGAAAAATATTGACATAAAGGAAAAACATGTTACACAAGGGTGTTACCTTGGGCATTCTAACAAAAAAATTGATCCTTAATAAGTAGGCCCAACCCAGTTAGCAATAAAAAATTTCCCCATGAAAAGAAGATTTTAAGATACACACACACACACACACACACACACACGCATATATGTAGCAGATTGTAATCTGCTAATGTAATATATACATTAGATTTTACTATTAAAATATGAATCTGTAGGTATGAGAATGCATTTAAGTTTCTCCTCCTTTTATTATTTTTCTGGGGGAAAAACACACAGAGAGAAATTAAATGCAAAGAAATAAAAATGTCACCACTTATCCCATGTACCAACACCACCACCATCCCCACTACCTCTACTTTTCTCGATTCAAAATACTCACTTTACCAGTGTTCAACACTCACTGTCAGTCTCCTTCTAATTGATTGTAATTATTCAGTGGGAACCTCAAAACGCTGGTGTGGACAGCCAGCCTTTTATATTAGCTGCTCATCCTCTATGGGATGGTTGCTAAGGCTTCTCTCCCAACATCTTTTTCCTGAATAGCTTTCACTGTGACCACTTAGCTTTAGTAATTTTAATCTGTGTCCCCAAAGAAGAAGGGTCTACACTTTTGTCTCAAGCACCCAGCAAAGTGTGATCCTTACAGTTAAAGGAGAAATGAAGAAGTGAAGAGAGTTTGAAAGAAAATAAAAGATGATAATATTCAAAACAGATGTCATCTAATTTAATATCTGACACATAGCCCAGCAGGCCAGATTTTAGACTTCAGGCCAAAAATACAAGATTATCAGAAGAAAAACAATTAGCATCCTAGGGAGAATGAAAAACTGAAACAGACAGGAGCCTTCTTTGTGCCAAGTCATTCTGAATTAATTGGGTGAGTTTTATTAGATGCACTAGGTAACACACTTGCTCTTTTCTTATTTTATGTTTTAGAGAGAACGTTTATACCTAAACAATAAACCAACAGGAGCTAAACAACAGGAGAGCCAAACAAAGCATTTAGATTTTGAAACTAATTCTGGGGAAGCAAAAAGAGGTAACAGCAATTACGGATTAAAAAGGAAAGTAACAAGATAAGAGAAAGGATCTAAACCTTTCAGAATCTTGGGAGCCCTAGGTAGCCTTCGGGGCAGCCACTAGCCATTGAACCTTATGCCAGCCAGGACCCAGGGGATGCATAGGAGAGTGTGAGCTCCTGGCAACTGTGTGCTGGCCGAGCATTCAGGTGGTCATTGGACTAGAATACACCTTTGCCCAGTGCATGTGGTTCCAGGGAGACTGCTCTAATCAGGCTCCAACAGATTTGGGGAGAGTTTGTCACAAATGTCTTAGTAGGTGGTTAGGCTCAGGCACCAGTTGGGGATGGAAACTTGGAGGGATGGAAATTATGAAAAGAAACAGGGGTTGGCAGGGGGTCAATAGGCGAATTGAGAAAAGACAGGATGAAAGGATGGCAGTGGGAAAAGACCTAGGGAAAGTAGAGGACAAGGAGGAAGGGCACCTGCACACAGCCCCAAATCCCTGGCCTGGGGTGGGTGGGTGGGTGGGTGTGTGTGTGTGTGTGTGTGTGTGTGTGTGTGTGTGTGTGTCAGGGGATTTACAATTCCCTCCAATCCAGTTTTCAAACCCTAGCCAAAGCCTTCAAGTTGTGGGGGGAAAAGAGCTGCTTGTAAGAAAAGTTTTAATGTGAAGCATGTGGCTAAAGCTTTCCCAGACCTCTGGCTTGGTTCAGTGGGTGGTATGTTCTTTCGTTGTTTTGGTGGTAATGATGGCAGTCGTGGTGAGATTTTGTGTTGATTCT